CAATTAAATATTCCGTACAATCAAGCGTTTTTGTTAAACGATAAATAATTCTTATGGCACGTGGATTTGGTTCATCACATAAATAAATATAACGAAGAAGTAATGAAACAAGACGACGATTATATAAAAATCGTCTTAAAGTTTTATCAGTTGTTTCATATGATAATTTCGATAATAATATAAATATTAATGCTTCAGTACGACGACGAATTTCTATATTTGTATTTGTTGAAGCAATTTGACCTGATGATGATGATAATGTATGACGTTCATCATCCAAATGAGTATTTTCAACAAATTCAGTAAATAAACTTTCATTAAATTCTATCGTTACAGGTATTCGTTGTTGTTGTTGTTGCTGCTGCTGCTGAGTGTCAGTCTACAAAATCAAGATTGAATAGATTACATAATCACAGTTCTTCGTTATGAAGAAGACTAGTTATTTGAAAATATATCCTTTGTTTAAACTGTTTCGGATATCACCATCTCGCTTTTAATCATTTCTTGCTCTCGAAGAATTCATCTGAACTTTTTATCACAGATAGAGAGTACTTAGAATAAGGAGATACATGTTTGAGTAAAAAAGAATTTTAAACAATATTTTCCGAAGACTGCGTCCAATTCACTTGTGATCTCTCTATGACTTTTGCCGCGCGGGCTGAAATTTTCACTGCAGATACTCGGAAAAACTTTCGGATGTGTAATCGATTGTTTTTAACATTCCTATCCGAACCTTAACATATTTGTCTCATAGAAAAAAAATGAGATATGAACTATGAACACTCTGAAAAGAGTTTGTGCTCTTAGCTTATTGCTGCAGAGCTATTGCATATTTATAGGATTTTCTAAGTGAATGGTGTGATAATCAGGCCCCACGCGAAGGACCAAAAATTGGGGACATGTAGGGACGATTGAGAGAGTGTGTAAGAGAGTATGTTTGAAAAAATTCCGTAGAGATAATGTTAAATATAGAAAAAACTCCACACCTTTCGCCGGAAAAAATTGAAAATTTTCGATTATTGGCGGGGGAGGGTGTAAACTCCTCTAGACACCCTGCTCGCGCAGGGCCTGGTGATAATACAAAAACTGATTTGTGAATTTCGAATTGAAGCTTTGTATAAAAACAGATCTTATCGCTACTTCCATCCTAAGATACAACTATGGTAAGAGCATGTTGTTTTCATAGCTCATGTAAAACCGCTGATTTGATGCTCTTATTTCAGAATACAAACAAATCCAAACGTCTGCTTCTATGGCATTTGTTGAAAATGTTGTAGAAACACAGTATTTCTGCAGCAATAAGCGAAAGATACGAGCTCTTTTCAACATATATTCATACCTTATTTGGATCATATAGTTTTGACTCAAAAATGATTTATCAGTTCGAGAATTTCTCTCACAAGATATAATGACGGGCATAAATATAGATCAGCTGTATTTTTGAGTTTTCTTCTCTATTGTATAAGCTTGGCAAACTTAAAAATTCCAATAAAACTGCTTGAATGAGAATGTCTGACATCCAAGACCTTCAAAACCAGTTTTCTGACATTCATTTAAAGCTTTTTGGAAATAGTTTTGTTTTGAGAGAGCGAAATGAGATGTTTCGACTCTCTTCATCGAGCTGTATTCAAACTATATAAGGGCTCAAAGTGTCAAGTACAGCAAATTTTTCATAAAAACAACAGAAAAATGTTTCCTAAGTTTTCCGTAAATTGAATACAGTTCAATGAAGAAAGCCAAGACAGTTTATTTCGCTCTATCAAAAAAATGTTTTCTCAAAAGCTTTTCATCGATACCATAAGACTATTTCTAGGGGTCTTGCTTTACTGAATATTCTTATTCAAGCAATTTTATTGGAATTTGTAAATCCGACAAACCTAATAAAGAGCCCTGTAAGTCACTCAAATGTATTTTCGGTCTCTTTCTAGCTATTACCATCGAGAAGAAAATTGAAAAGTACAACTACTCTAAACATTTTTAGTGCCACTATAAATGCTTAGCTATCGGGTGAAAAATTTTCAGTTCGCTCAGGCAATTTTAGAGGAATACTCTTAAAAAAGATGCTGTTTTTTCGTACCGTATGTTTTGTTTTTTGTCGTTTTCTTCGTATTGAATCTTGTTCATCATCTCCTAATGATCGTTTTTCATTATTTTCATATTTAATCATAACAACTGATTCTAATAAATCACACATTCGTTCAATAAATTGCATCTGTTTAACAAATATAATTAATGATTGTTCATCATATATAAATTGACCAATAGCTGTTAATAAAAGATCCAAAAAATTTGAACGATATTGATATTTTTCTAAATAATTAAAAAATATTTCTAATTTATTCATATCATCTTTAATTAAACGACGATTTTGTGTTTCTTGACAACAAACACAAAATAGACCAATACATTTTAAATGTTCATATGTTGATTGATATTGATGATTATGAATCATATTTAATAAAAAATCTAAACCATTACGTAAACCAAATTCAGTACGCATGTCACTATAACGTAATAAATTATTAAGTAGACGAAATGCTATATGACGATATTCTTTATCAGATTTGCCTTCCATTGTTGTTATTAAAAAACGAAATATTTCACCTTCACGTAACTAAATAAACGTGACGAATAAAAAAGAAATGTTTTTTTTTTTAATTTTATACAAGATGAAAACAAAAATTAGTTTTTGGTATTATTACTTGTGAACGACTTCTATCTGAACTATCAATATCCCATTCTAGAACAGCTTTCATTGCTTCTTTACGTAAAGCAACTTTTTCAGCAAATAATTGTTTACATATGGATAACAAACACATTGAATCAAGCATTCGATCACGACAAAATGCATATGTACTTAATTTTCTAGAACAACAAAAAACCAATAATACTTGTGTGTGTGTTTTTTCAAGTTAAATAATATCTACCTTGAGCATCGAATTGTTGAATGTAAACATGCAGCATCTGTACAAACACGTAATACATTTCCCATAGATCGTGTTAAATCTAGAAATTTGATAGTTGACGAAAAATAATAAATGAAAACATTTCAATATCATACCAGCTTCGATCATTTTTCGTGCAGCATCTTCAACAGTACATATATTGCCTAACAATCGAAAGCATCGATTTGTTATATCTATTTGACTTGTATCAACTACTTTTCGACAAACAATGTCAATTAGATTAGTTTCGAAGATCTATGATATAACACAATATATGTTGATAACAATAAAATTTTTCAAAATTTTCGTTTTATTATCATTCATATCAGACAAGTACTTCTTAGTTTTGTAATAAGATGAAATAAGAAGAAATATTGCTTTTTGTCATAGGATGATATTAATATTTTATTCTTCAATGTTCAAAGAAGAGATCTATCCTTTTCTCACATATAATCAAACGTATTAGTTATTTATTTTAGATTGATCTTTGATTCAGTATTCAATAGACTTTAAACATCAAACAAATATGAACCTTTTTCTAATTGATCTAGTAGTTGCATGAATAATATCAACAGTAAAAATATTCAGTTAGATAAATACAACACTAGACTAATCTTAACTCATGCTAATATATATATCTGAAGAAACTATCTCTACCATTGAGTGAACTATAGTTAAATCACTTAGAGTGTAATTTCAATAAACGACTCATTAATTTCGTAAGTATGACACAAATCAATCGAAAACTTCTGACCAATAGAAAAATTTTTTATTCTGATATACCTGTTCATGTGATGCTTGTTCACAAGCAATATTAGCAAATATACTAAGAACTGTTGATTGAATAGATAAATTTTCAATTAATAAATAATCTAATAATATACTAAATAAATCATCATGTATACGCATATATAACCAAGCATTCGTTCGTGTTGATAATGGTTTAAAATGTTCAAGTGAATTTTGTTGTTGTTCAATTGATTGACATGAAACTGATGAACGTAAACGATCAATAGCATTTTTATATAAATCAAATGATGATATTAATGTACGAGCTGAATCAATATATTCATCATCATCATCATCATCATCATGGACATTATCGTTATTATCTTCTTCATTTGTTGCAGATCGTGGTGGACTAAATGGTGGTGGTGATATAGACATATTTTTGTACGTCTAAAACAAGAGATTTAATTTTCACGATATGTATACCACTGAACGAAAGTATAATTAGGACAACTCAGTAATGAGTAAATACACGATATGTTGTGAAAAAAAATGAAATGTTATCATGAGAAAAATAATAGTTTATATAGGAATAAAAAAAAACGGAAATTTTTATTTATTTTAATTTTACATCATATGAATATTTCTTATAATTAATAGTTCACTACAGAGGAATCAATGTTGAAATTTATTGGTTAATAAAGTAACCAATAAGCTATGGTGAAATAATGATTCATCGATATCATGGTCATGGATTGAACTCCTATGAGATGTTTTCAAAATTAAGAACTTCAAGCGTTTTTTCTATACTATATGCATCATGTTCCCACTTATGCTTGCTGTATTGCATACAAAGCACTCTTTGTGCGAGTGAGGACCATATGTATTTTAAAGAAGTGTCCTCTTTACGAACGTATTAAATTAAAAATTTCAACTGAATCAACTCTATGGTGTCTTATGACGAATGTGATGATACGCATGACGAAGAGCAATAATAATCACTCTCATTTTATCCTTTTCCTTTTCTTTATTAGATGCATATGATAGTGAAAATTAATTGAGACAAGTATTGCTTAAGCTTAATCAGATTTATTGCGAAGGATTATATTTTTCATAGACGAAATGCGAAGAATGATATCATGTCTTTTTTTAATTTGATCAGTTCTTTTCTGTGGAAGTTTTTTTTTAATATTTGGAACATCATATGAACAGATAATTTATCAACGGAAAACGATCAGTATATTTTTTGTATTCGATTTTAGATTTCTTATAAGAAACCTTGTTCGTAAGTCCGAAATGGATATAAATTAAACTTTGAAAAATAGTATGTCATTTCGCCGAAATATAAGGACTCGATCGGTTAGTGCTGGTCGACAGCAACAATCTCGATTTTATTCTAATGAGTCTAATACTGATTTATCATCAGGAAAAGATTCATTACCAAATGTTTTGCCAGAAGTAAATGAATAATAATAAATGAATTTAAGAATGTTGTCTATCTTATTTTTTTTTCATTTTAGGTAACAAAAATTGTTCGAAAATTATTACCGCGTTTGTATTTTAATTATTTATAAAAGTTAGAAAAAAAATAAAAATTGAAATTTTCATTTATTTAGAAGAAATTCCATTGAATACGCATGTACGAAATGTTGAATATATAGAAAATAGTTGTGAACGTTTAAATGGAACTCTATATATGACTGTATTTCGACTTGTATTTGCACCTGATAATGAAATTGCAACGAATAATCTTGTAAGTATAATTTTATTAATTCTATATGCATTGGTTTGTCCTTTATTTTCAATCATTTTCTGACTGAAAGCTAAGAAATTTCAAGTTATCGATTATGTTGATTCTGAATGTGATCATGAGAAATTCTCAAGATTATCATTTATTGGTTATTCAACCTAACATACATATTGCAAAAATTGTTTTTGATCTATTCAGATCAAAGAGCATATCGATTGTCTATAAGTCAATCATCTTTTCTATTTTCCAAAAATAAGTTGTAAGCTTAATAATATGATTTTTAAAGAGTTTCACATTGAAATGTTAATATGAAGGCTTTGACAGCAGAAACGAGATTTGTTAAAAAAGTTTGTTAGTCTGAAAAACTGGTTTTGTAGAAAATAAGTATATGAAAGTTTAAGGGAATTTCTTATGTTCATATTCGAGATCAGAATAATGGATAACTTGAGATTTGTTAGCTGTCGGAGAAAAAGCGATTGTTCAGTTGAAAACATTCCCTCGTCAGTCCCTAAGTAGAAATTTCATGCATCAATGGAAATAAATAAACGTGAAATATTTATTGATCGAATGCAATGTCAGTATACGAGTAGAGATTGTCGAGTCCAAAATTTTCGGAGCCCAACCAATTCGATGGGCTGTACATACTAGTCCCTTAAATTATAAAATCTTTCATTCTTCATCGATTTCAATAGAAATACTTGCCATTGCTCCATTCGATTTCCAGTGACATGATTAATTTAACGTTGGATGTTTATTTTTAGATTTTCTCTGAAAATAAATATATTGGTGAATATGACATTCCATTAACATCCATTTATAAAATAGATGTTGCTCGTAAGTATATAATAACGAACATATATTTATTTTTAAGATCAGTTCGTTAATAATTTGTTTTCTTTCAAAGCGGTGAATTCTCGATCAGGATTGAAATCATTTTTATCTGAAAATAAAATTCAATCAGAAACAAGAGCATTTACAATTACTACTCGAGTATATAAAATTCTTTTTTTTCTACTTAATTGTATTATTTATATTTCAATTTAAAAAGGATTTTCGAAACATAACATTTTCAAAATGTTTAGTTGCAAAATCGAATTCAACCAATAATAAACCAGAAGTATCTGTATCGAAAATGGAAACCGTAAATTTTAGTTTAGGTTTTGAAAAACATAGTCTAGTCTGTTTTTTTTGTTATAGTATATTGATGCATTAAAAGTTCATTGTCGTTTTCAAAATAAAGAACAATTGTATCCATATCTTGCTATGCAACAAACTTCAATAAATAATAGATCTCCTAGATATCAACATGGTCATCAAGTACCATCGATAATAATTTCATCTAGTGGACGATCAATGGATGATGATACTGGTGGTAAACAGATTATATATATAAAACTTCTTTTTCCAATTTTATCGTATTTAGATTTTTGTATAAGTAATGATGCACGTATTAGAAGCTATTTGACTTATCAAGATTGGTGTGGTGAATTGAAGAATGCTAATGAAACACAATGGATGGTTGATTCAACAAAATTTGATGAAGAATATGTTGTAAACAAGTATGACATTGAAAAATGTTTTTGTTTGCTCATTCGATTAGTTTTTTGTATATTAGAGAAGGTCCATATGTTTGTTTAGCAAATGTCAATGAAAACGATGATTGTAAAGATTTTGTAAGATTTACTTTTTATGTGTTTTTTTTAATCTATTTTATTTAAAACAAAACAGATATGGCATTGGACTCATACATCTGAAGTTGAAATTGATCATCGTCATCAACAAAATAGAGGACCAACACAATATATGCTTGTTACTAAACCAGGCATGGGAGATATTACTGCCGCTGCAGATTCGTAAGTTGATATTGAGAATAGTTACATTTATTTTTAATGTGAAGGATTTATTATGAAGAAGGAAAACGAAATTTTTTTATTTAATTTTCAACAGTGTTGAAGTTCCAAAAAGTTTACAAAAAATATCATCATCATCACGTTTTTTGAATCTATCAAAAAGATTACCGAAAAATTTACGTTCAAATCCTAATGATAGTCTACCAATGCAATGTATCACCAATGAACTTAAAACATCAACTAATAGCTTAATCGGGATACCACCAAAATCGCCCAATTTTGGGTGAGATGCATATAGGCGCTCGGTAACCATTGCTATGTTCTAAATATTGCATGTATATATTCGTTGCTTTTGTCTTGGTTATGAATTATAACGTCATGGATCATAATAAATGGCTGCTTTTGACATATCATATTTTCGTCACTTAATACCTTTTATTAAAAAACAAAATACACCGACGAAGAGCTCTACAACTTAAAAAGTAAAGCTTTGCTTTATAAAGGAAAAACAAGGACAAAATTCTATTCGACTTATTTTCGACGTTGCGAACATGATATTTTTTGACAAACTATCACTCTGTTCTTTCATCTTATTGATTGAAGAAAATTGTATTCACTGATGAAAAATACTTTTCATTAGAATGTATTTATATTGTTAGTGGATAGGAGACAAATAGTTGAGAAAACATCAATGAAACAGCTAAGTATCAAAAAAATCATTATTGCTTGATTAGCTATTTCTCAAAATAGTCTCACGTTTCTCAATTATTTTCACATTCGGTGAAGCCTTATCACATGAAAATTTTATTGAATATGTTTCATTGGATGAGAATTAGCAGTATTGTATTAGAGACTGAAGTGTGTGTTCCTTCAGAATACGTGCTTAGAATTTTCCTAGGACTTTTCTCTATCGAGTTGTGAGTTTCGAGAGAACTCTAAAAAGTTTTCTGAAAGGATTAGTATTTGATTTTTCTGAAGACTGTAAATATGTAATAGTTGAGGATAATTATTACTCTACAAAATGACGAAAGAATGGAATGTTTTAGTTAACCCTCAAAAATATAGCAGACTTGCGACGGAGGATGATTTTGTACTGTAAAAGCAGAAACCGGATAAATACCCATATCTCTTGTGATAGGCTTCATAAAAGCTTTCACTGCATTTCAACAGTTTGCAAAACAACTTTATTCAAATATACAGCTCTGTAGAGAATTATTTTCTATATCTTCAAGTATATTCGACCGAGCTTTTTGCTACACCAGAAACAAGTTTCATTTAAGGCTTGTTCTTTGCAAAAAGATTTCTTTGAGTTGTTTCAAGATTCACTTCTAGCTCATTACTTAAAAATTACAGAAAATTTCTAAACATACATTTTGCAAGAGCACTAAATTCTAACACTAATATACTACTTCTACCTCTATTACAATACATTTAAATTTGGTAAAATATTTCGTCTGAAAACTTTCGATCCAATCTTTATATGCTATCTTTAGAGTGGCTTTCCTATTCGAATTAGAAAATTTTATTGAGTTTATCAAAATACAATTTGATCTAGTCTAAATATATTCGATCCCATAAGGTTATATTGATAGTCGACAATTTCCTCGATCAATAAAACAACACCTAGTCTTATACACATTATAAACACTGACAGGGTAATATGTTTCGAACGCCATTGCCCATTATGCGCAATCAAATAATGTTAACAATCATGATTTTTTTAATTGCTGAAATAACAAAAGAAGTTCACTACGTATTCAAAAATAATCGTCTTCGCAGTATTGAAAACTAGTCGAAGAGAATTTCGTCCTCTTTTTGTTTTTTTTTTTTATAAAACAATTCTTTTCTTTGCAAAATGTGTTAGGTGATAAAAAGATGACAAATAAGAAAGCGACCATTCATCATGCATCATGCATTGAATAAATCAATGTTGTACAGTTTGATTTTAATGAATTTATATTTTAGTTTACGTCGTAATGCAACTGATTCAAATTTAATGTATTCTTCTGATCATGCATATGAACAATCATTTCAACGCTATGATGTAGCAAAATTTCCATGTAATTTAAAACGTTTACAAGCCAGTTATGAAAGATTAATTGAAATATGTGCAATAACTTCTGGTAAAAAGAAGAGAAATTTTATTTATTATGATTGCTATGAATAAATTTTCTTTGTAGAAGATGATGATGATGATAAATGGTTGAGTAAATTATGTGGATGTAAATGGCTTCAATATGTTTCAAAAGCGTTACATGGTGCTGCATCATTAGCTAAATTACTTAATTATACAAATATCGCATTAGTGGGTATGAAAAAGTTTAATCAGGTCTTTGCAAAAGTAGACATTTCAATTTAAGTTTTCTTATCGTTCATGTGATAGGAGTAAGATTTTCTTGAATCAAGCTGAAAATAGATCTCAGTTTAGGTAGTGTGATTTATCTTCATGAGGATGAAAAAGTTATTGTGATTTTTATCAATTTTAAGCATAGCAAAGAAATAGGACTATAATGACAAATAAGTGTATGACAGCTTGCATTTTAATAAATCGGGAAAATTATGTCAAAAAAAGCTACTCAACAGGTTTTCTCGCGATTCCACTGCAACACACTTCTTTGCAGATGTGTAATGAACTACTATTGGCAGCAAATTATGAGACACATGGAGGTTTTGATAATAAATTTTTATAAAAACGACTTAAAGGCTTGAATTTTTCACTATTTCAGAGACAACACATAGAGTTATTAAAGTAAGACAAAATCTAATTGTTCAACAATTTCCAATCAAGTGAGTTCTTGACGAGGATTTCAAAAACGAGACTCTGAAATCAGTTCTCACTTGTTTTTGATTTGTAATATGATTGAAAATTTTGAAATAATTATCTTCAATTGCTTTGAAACTGTAAATAAACACTACTATTCGATTTAGCCAAATAAATAATCCCTGTGTACATATCTTTTGGTCTTTTCTAAGATCAAATAGCTGTAATTGGATTTCCTCCATTGACTACCCATATGACCCGTCAAAATGACGTGGGAATTGACTTCAAAATCTGGTTTTCATAGTCTTTGTTAAGAACTTATCTAACTTGTCCATCGTTGACTGATCCGATTTTGAATTACTTTGATGAGATCGAGTGTTCTCTCTTGGATGGTGAGAACTCTAGTTTTTTACGTCGGTTTTTATCAAAATTTATTACAAAAAGATCCACGTTCTTTATATTTTGGCGCTGATTGTAGACGATCGAAACCAGTTCAGTTACTTAATATAAAGTTATTGCATATCTAATGATAAAAAAAATATTATAGAACTATGCTTTGACGTTTTGTAACTTATCTTCGTATCAAACTTTTTTCATATAAAAGAAATCAACATATATTGTATTTTTACTTGATTGTAAAATTTTCGTTTTGAAATTTTTTTAATTTTCACGAGGACCTCATAGAATATTAAAAAAATAATTTTTCTTCGTTAGATATGCACCAGTCCTAGTCGAATTAATATTCCCATGGGCAAATATCACAGATGGAAACAACACCGGTTATCAGTCTGAATTTCTGACCAACCGGTTGCTGACTGACCGACTGACTGTATCTTTAGAGGATATCTAGCTGTCGTGATATCCAGTCGGACTATAACTAGTGCATAACTATTCTTCATATTCTACGCTGTGTTTAATAGGCTCTGTTTTTTTTTTGAATTATAATTCTATCAAAATTGGTAAATAGGTCATGAGAAAACTATGCTTAAATTCAACATTGATCGCGAAATTCCCAATAAACTATTCTAAATTTATTTCTTTTTGAAATAGGAAGTGATATCGATAATAGTTGTTTAATGTCATCATTGATTCAAATATTTCTTCGACCTAAATGTCGTACAATCAAAGGTTTTTGTGAATTAATTGTTCGTGAATGGATTATTCGTGGTCATCCATTTCGTGAACGTTTTGGACAAGTTATTTGTGATGGATATGGAAATAATGCTCAAGAAGTTTGTTTTTTTTTTAATTTTTTATTAATAAATTCCTATTGAATTATTTATTTTTTCTTTTAGTCACCAGTTTTTCTTCTCTTTCTTGATTGTATTCATCAATTAATTAATCAAAATCCATTTTCATTTGAATTTACTGAATATTTATTAATTGAACTTTATCATAGTATTTGTTATTGTTATCATAATACATTTATTTTCAATTCAGTCCTTGAACGTCTTGATGCAATACAAAATTGTCCAAGAAATATGTTATTTTTATCATCATTTGATTTTTCTCTTTATCTCTATCCGCATACATGTCGTTTATTAAAAAATCATACATATATATTTTCTTCACAAAAATTATCTCTTTCTCATCAACAAACAAATAATACAAAACCAAATCTATTACCAAAAGGGAATTCATGTCCTCAACGACCATCAAATCGATCTATGTATCGTTTAGAATCACCAAAAACAATTAATTTCATGCTTGATGTTTCATCATCAACAGAGAAATTATTACCAGCCAATGGTGAACAATTTGGATATGATCTTATTGAATCACCACAAAGATTTCATTCGGATCTTTATGTTGATTGGCGTATATTTAATATAGTTTTATGGTCAAAATGTTATTGTCGATATGATCAAAACGATATGACAACATCACGTGAACAACAATTATCATTTGAAATTGCTTGCTTACAGCAAGATATTCAAAATACACATTCAAAATTTCGACGACAGCTGACAATAGATGCATTTCATTCTGTATGAATTTTCATTATAAAATTAAAATGAAAGAATTTATTTTTAAAATTTGGTTTTTAGACTAATCATGCTAACTCATGGCATCCACAAATGTTGGACACTCATGTATAAATACGAATAACAATAATATATTATTTTTTATTATTTGAATCAATCATGTTGTTCTTCATAAAATAGTGTTATATGATTGCTTTTATATGGCTTGAAACACTTTTTCGTACTGATTTTTGTATGAACTTTTATTCATTTGATAAACTTAGTATTCAACAGTGACTTCGAGAACGATCAACAATAGAAGTTTTGCATTTCTTTTAATTTTTATTTTATGAGAAAATGTATGTTCGTTAGATCAATGAAAGTAAGTAGAAGTACTTACTGCCATACATTTTTCGAAAAAATTTAATCAAATTTATACTTTTATACGAATAAAATAAATTGCATACATAACAAATTATGTAATATGCGATTTAACATTTACTTAAAGGATGATGGAAAAAAATTCAAAAATCTATCAATTCGTAAACGATTTTTAAAGCTTACGTATGAATGATTAAAATCATTTGAAATTGAAATGTAATGAAATGGGAATATTCTGATGATTAAAAATGAAACAAATGTTCGAAATGCAACTAAATAAAAAATAAATGACGGAGGAATTTAATTGACAACATAACATGAGTTTATTAGATATTTTCATTCAGAGAATGAAAATATATGCTGTCAGTTTATCCTAGAAACATGATTCTGAACTGCAATATAAACTGAACAAATTTTTCCGTTTTAAATCTAGAATGACATTAATAATCATTACTCAATATCGTTTCTGACGTTTATGGGTAGGCATCATAAATATCCATCATTGCTACGATGGTTTTCGGGAGATTCTTCCAAAATTCCTCTCATCTCTGTGCTATATTTGCACAGTTAGATTGACTTCATCAGATTTACCACGTTTCTAACTGTTGAACCTTTAAACACAAAAATCGAATGCAAATTCATGCAATTTTACAATCTCTCTAGAAGAGAAGCTGCTATCATCGCTATCATTGAAATATCTGATAGACATATACCAATTTCTTGAACATAATGTTAAGGATGATCTTTTTCTGTATAAACAATATTAGACCCTGTCGTTTCTTTGTATTAGCGTTATTCGAATTTATTTCTTCTATCCAAAGCAATGGTTAGATTTGATCGGTCAAAGAATAAACGTTTTCGAAAATGACTGAAATTCGTCTAAAATTTACATTTTTACAGTCAATTTGAAGCATTTGAGAGACTCTTGTTTTGTGTTCGATCAAAGCTAGTCACAGCTATTATGAAAAGTTGTCGAGATTTCGATAGTTTTCAACCCATGTGAAAACTACTGAGAAACTATCACCATGTTCTTTTAAAGTGTTGTATTATGTTGTAGTCTATCAAAACGAATAAGTATTTTTCAAGTTTGTTAAAACTGACTTATTAAGTCATTTTCAATGCATTCCGATAATGTTAATTCCTCTAAGGCATTTGTATTAGCTGCAAAGTTCGCATCGGCCCCAGCTATGAGATTAGTTTTTATTATAGATGGCTTGAAAAAAATTCTTATAAGTCAAAAATATTCTGAAACTGTGTTCTTCTGTGTTAATTTGAATTCTTTCTAATAAGTAATTCGACTTTAGGTAGAAATGTATTTCGGGTGAGGTGTGGGTGTCGATTCATTCTACATTCACATCTACACCGTCAAGAGAGAAGGTACAACTAGCGGGAGCAAAGTATTTCTTTAGTTTTTATCTTGAAAAGCTATATTTGTGTTACATGTAAATATGAAATCACTCATCAGACGACTATTTTCACAAAGTTTTTCAAAAATTAAATTTTGTTCTATTGGTATCTGAAACTCGATATGACCCTTCAGAAACACTTTTTCGAGATTTTAAAAATAACAGTAAAATCTATTATCGCAAAAGAAAAATGTTTTAGTTCGTTAGAAGTTCTAAATAGAAGCAAAAAGTTTTTAAAGGGCAGTGTGGTGGTTTAAAAGGAAAACATTGAAAATCTTTTATTACCATTCAATTTATCATCATGATCAAAGTCGCTTACTACTGTTTTTCTAAGCATTCAATTGACACTCTGCCATCAACATCTACTTGTCTTCTCGCGTTATAAATGGCCAAATTTTGTTTATTGATGTCAATCGAATTTTCTATCATAGAAGGAACTTTGAAATCTTTACCTATTGAAGCACAACATTGAATGATCCAAGCTTCTTTTCAAAAACTAAGTCTTCAGTTGGAGATGATGATCAGAAAACATTTGAGTGAAACTGAAGTTTTACACTAGACTAAGACGAAGTATCGATGGCGTTTCGATATGCATTGCAACGCAACGAACTTACGAATGAGACATGAAGCACCTCGTGTCGGCAGTAGTGTTTTTTTGCCTATCAATGGCACTCAATGGAAGAAAATGATCATTTGGTTCTTTTCAAATGAAAAATAAACGAGTGTGTATGCTCTTGCCTTCTCTTTCTGTCTTGATACCGAAGAACTTGCGTCCTTTCAACTGAAGCATGAATGTAACTTGACATATGGAGCGGTCCACTTTTCTTCTTAATTCCGATATCAGGGCAATGCAGCTTGTTAAAAGTCCATCAGTATGTTCTAGTCGACATTTTTACATTTCGCAATGTCACTATGATTAGAAAAGCTAACTAATATTTAATGTGCTCTGTTTCGCCGAGATGTTGCGAAACTTCGGAAGAAAAATAGAAATATAGTTCAATTTCAAAGAAAAACACATAATAATGTTCGACAAAGGATCATTCACATTGGTTGATATTCAGTATGATATGGTGTAAGAATAGCAAATCTTATTGCTTTCGATTGTGACAGATCTTTCGAAAGATTAGTAGACTTTATATGATTCTCTTCGTTCTATGCCTTTTGAATTCGATAACAATGATTCGACTTGAGATTGCACCAAATGGTACAACATAGATCGGAGAAACTATTCTGTTGATGATCAGTTCCAAATCAAACATCCTCAAGGCACACCCATGGAAGAATGTAGTGTCCACAATGCTTTTATTCAGAAACAAAAACACATTATTTTTAGATCTAGAGATGTTTTAGCAACTGATTGGCTGCGTTGTCTCCGTCAGATAGTTCAATTCGTTCGAGTTCAATCGATGTGTAGCCTCAAGTGTGCTCCTGACTTCTCTATGATACCAATTCAGCCAATTCAACTGAGCTGTAGTTAACATCTCACATATGATTAGATTGCGATCGAATGGTACAAATGTGAGTGGTTCAAAGTGAAGAAATTGAATTGTTGAATTCGTATAATTGTTTGGCAACGTGTAATTCTTGACAATAATTTCAGTTTCGAGACGAATGCCAAATGAATTCGGCAAATAGAAGCCAGGTTCATCTGAAAACACCATTCCATCCGTTAACGGTATGTCAAGAGAGCTGTAGCCCTTTCCAATGAATGAGGGACCTTCGTGAATTGAAAGAAAATGACCTATGCCATGCCCGGTACTATGAGCATAATCCATAAAGTTTTTATAAAGAGATTGTCGAGCTAGAATATCCAGCTGTCGACCATAGGTTCCAACAGGAAAAACGGCATCGGCTAGATCAATGGATCCTTTGAAAAAGAAAATACTTACAAATTAAAACACTATTTTCTAGTGCTTACCTTGTAGAACTAGTGTGTATGCTTTCTTCTCTTCCGCCGTCGGTGTTCCAAATGTATGCGTTCGGGTGACATCTGTTGTACCGTCCAGATACTGTGCACCAGCATCTAGTAGATACACTTTATCTCTAGTAATCTCAGCTGCTGTTTCAGCATCGGGCTCAAAATGAATAGTGGCAGCATGGGCACCGACTGCCGAAATGGTGGGAAAACTGATTTCTTTGAAGTGAGCTTCTAGTGATTGATAATATTCCAATCGTTCTGCTGCTTGTGTTTCGTTGACTTGATGATTGTTTTTTATCTCATTTTCTAGCCACGCCAAATGACGTACACGTGCTATACTATCACGAACACTACAGTCACGCATGCCTTTTTGTTCAGTCGGATTTTTGACGGCTTTTGTACGTGCCACCGGTGAACCTAAATAAATATCAAACAAACTGTATAACAACTGTTACAGTTCTGGTGAACGCCAAATACCTGCAATCAGACGCTTATTAGTGGGTATGCTATCCGAAATTGCTTGTGATACAGATGGAGTTATCCATATCCTATTCATATCACTATTATTAGCTAATTTATACAGATCGGTTAAAAATTCCTCATAAGGCTGAATGATGACATTTCTTAATTGTGTTCTCGCATCGGACGTCAATTGAGATTCATTCATCCAGAGGCGAGTCGTTTGATTGGCATGCACAAATGCGTAAGCCTATGAAAAATACATTCTTAATTGGTTCAACAAGGAAGACCTGTAACTGTACTTTGAAAAATGGACTGTATGGAATATCGGAACCGCGTACGTTGAATAGCCAAGCAATTTCGTCGAGTGCTGTTACTAACAGTCCATCCGTTGATTCGGTATTGATTAGCTCAGCGATGATTTCCACTTTCTTTTCCCAACTTATGCCAGCGAACATTATATTATGAACAAAAACTGGATTGCTCGAAGTCATTGATCGATCGGCTATCCGAATTGGATCGATTAATTCAGCCACTTTGACTAAAGGTACACTTTGTAGAGCTGCGACATGTTCCATCGACGACCAATAGTCCGACGAAGTGAATTGAGCAGCAACGCCCACGTTATTGTAAGATGATGTGGCTTTCAACTGACTGGCAATCCAGTCACCGAGTGTTGGTACACCTGGTTCATCTTGTCGCATGAGAAGCCAGTTGGCACAATCGAGTTCGTTTTCAGCTTGTGTTCGATATCGATTATCGATCCACAGTGCAGCCTGATCAAGTGTAACAACAGCAGAGCCGGTCGAGCCCAAGAATCCGGTTATCCATGCTTGTCGTGTGTCATACTGTTGCACATATTCACTTTGATGTTCATCTTCGAAGAAGATAACGTATGCATATAAACTAAGACTTCTCATTCGAGCCCTTAGTTGCGATAATTTTTCCGCTGTATTGACTTGAGATTGTTTTACAGCACAACTATAGTTCATTTGTTGACATGCTACAAATCGGAAATTGCCAGCAAGAAAAGCAAGACAAACTACTAGAAGGTTCATCATCATCTATCGTCTGTCTTTCTACCTGTAGCGATTGAGTTTAAAGATGTGATGTGTGGTGTTGATATTCTTTTTATTTCTACTATGATTGTTTTTTTTTCGTTTCTTGTTGTACTTCGATTGTCTTGTGTTGGCGTCGACAAAACGAGATAGAAAGAAACATGAGAGAAGTACATGTGATCAAAGGTGATAATACTTTCACCCTTTGTCAAGATAAAGATTATGGTCATTTAATAAAAACGAGCGGAATTGAGGCAGCTTTTTCAGTTCTAACAACATAGAATTTTATTTCAGAAACAATAACGAGTTTCTATCGAAACAGTAGTCGACTGTGGCGGCTTTGTGTCCCATTCTGCGTCGAGGCACAAGGATGCTATCAATGATAATATATAGGGTGTCGATGCTTGAATTCATTTGATTCTCACCGTTAAATTAGCAATGCAGCATATAGCTAAAGTGTACTTCTCATATAGAACATCATTCTTGGATAGTGGACAAAATTTAGATTGTAAACCAATAAAACGAAGTGAATGAAAAGAATATTTTTAAATTTTATTTAGAATGAGGGTTGCATTTCATTACTATCGAACTTGATTTTTGAGCAGAAGAAAACTTAATCTTGACACTATCGAATGAACATGTTGCGAGGAAAGAGCGAAATTTTATCATTAATCAATGATTTGCTGTTGTGTAAGGAAGCAATATCAGATTCATTCATTTTCGATTCGACTTAGAATAAACTGAAGAATATGTTGAGGTGAGGATGTGAGTAAAGAGAAAAGGTACATTCACACTTTCTTACTCAAGTCTGTAGAGATTCTGCTAGGGTTTTATTGAATTAACTTGGCGAACTACAATAGAAGAAAAGGTATACTTCGAATTATTATCTCCATTCTCACCTTTTAAGTTCTGGGATAGCTCTCGAATTTTCGCCTTTGGTATAGTAAGATGCTCTACACCCACACCCCCGCTCCTCTCCACTGAAAAATGTTATTTGCTTTGTTTTTCGTAACAGCTCAAATAAATATAAAATTCATTCACAAAATAATGCACTTTGACAAGCACAGTTTCTTTCGTTCTCTTCAAATATAATTTACGAGTAATAAAGATAACAACCATGGCCTTTCATTTTTATGGTCTCCTTTTTCTATCGTTGGTTCTTTCAACAATCAAATTGATGCATTGTGAAAATGGTTCTTCTACATAAAACACACAGCACAGAGTGAGGGCGAGGATTTGCGCATTGTACAGAAATGCCGTTGAGTCGAACAAAAGCAATGACATACAGATTATTTTTGTCACATAAACTTTCTACAAAAATATTTGTGCTTTTCTGCTTATTAATTAAAATATTCTTTTGAATAAGTCTCAGACGTACATTTATAATCTTCTAAGTTAAATGATAGATGATATTCATAAAGATAAATGACACTTAAATAGTTGTTTTGCAGCGATGTTGAGTTTGGTCAAAAAAATTTCAGACTGTTATTAGAAAAAAACAAGAGCTTAGAAAAGATTTATATAATAGAGTATACATCTAAAAGTAAAATTACAGCGACATAAACATACGGATATGAGTATCGAGCTAAATCTATGAACTATAAATGTAAGGGTGTAGATATAAGCGTATACGGGTAAAGATATAGATATAAACGTACAAGAATAAGGCTATGGATGCAAGAGTATGAAGGTAAGGCTATATATATATGACGATATAGATAAGAGGACATAGGTAAAAAGGCTATGGATGCAAGGAAATAGGTATAAGAGTATATACATAAAGCGATAGGGGTAAGGATATAGATATAAAAAACAGGCATACTAGAACTTAGATATAAGGACATGGATTTAAAAGTATCAAGGTATTGATAAAGGGTGTCTTAGCTCAACTGATGATAAATTGCTTACGATATTTTTTGTACTTTTTCTCGAAGTAGAAGGTTGAAATATTTATCATATATGTATATATGTCTAATTATGATCCTTAGTTCCCCAAACTTTCAACTCTCCAGCTAAAACTAAGGCCAAAATGCATATACAAAATCGAAGTGCATGTTTTATCGCACTATCATTTTTCTAACAGTATAATCGTAAAGGCTATTCTTGCAATAAATCAAGAGAGGAAAGGGCTAGAGAGCTACGGTTCTTACCCAACAAGACAAAAGACTTGGGGCTATCAAAATATATCGAGATACGGTTGGTCAGCAGCTGACTAACCACTTGAGTTCTTAGTGGAGATTTTTGAAACCATATTCTGAAGCTATTTTCTTGTCGATTCAGATTTTAAGTAAAACTAATTGATAGAGAAAGCTCTCTCCTTTCAAGCTACACAAGGCCAACATTACTAGCAGATTTAGTTTTTATAGACAGTTTTGCACGTTGTTTAAGAAAAAAATAACGTTGAAATGTTAGGAGAAGGAGAATTAGAATCTGATGGCCTCCTTTCGAACACTGAGCCATTTTGTAAGCAATCATGGTAACCAACTATTTTGATGTTTTTTCCTGTACAAAACAGAGTTTAAAATCAAGAGAAGTGCATTTGTCAATACAGTTTTCTTCACTCTATCGAATCATGACAAAATAAGCAAATTTTGAATTGCACTCAAATTCCGAACTTGGTGAACCTTACTAACTCGGATTCGAAACGTTCTCAAAAATATACCATGTCAACATCCTTGCATAACATCTGTTTTTTTGATAAAAACGTATCATTGTTTTCTCAAATTTTTCTTATCATTCCTGAATGTACAAAGTATGTGCCAAATACTTTGTTGTCATAGACAGTTAAATATATTGCGTATTATTTGCTCCCAAAATATGTTTTGTTTGCCTCCTGCGTCATTAAAATTAGTCGTTCTCTTTCTTCTTCTTCACACTTGATTGCTTTTCCTTGGAAGAAATAAAGACGCTGACTCCATACATGTGCATTAACAAGGAAAAAAACGAGACCAGGCAATCTAAATGCATTTTATGGCCATGGCCTTCATTTCTCAAGTTTTTTGCATACAGAAAGAAATTACGTATGAAAAAAATATACGAAAATCAAGTATAGGTGACAAAGTTTGTGCATTCGTACTGATCAGGTTAGTAAAGAAAGATAGGATACTTGTTAGAAGAAGAAAATTAGTTATTCGAAGTGATTTGGCATGTTCATGATAATGAATGAGTAGAAGAGTCATCTGAAGCATAGGCGATAAAATATGAAGAATAGAAATATTTGAGATTTTCAAACTATGGGATGTGGGTGTGCTTTTTTACCGACACTCATACCCTTTTAGATACATCATGAACATGAATTCTTTCTGGGTCTTGTTAGGTTCACTAAGCTTTACTTACTACCAAAATATGGGATCGAACGACATCCAACAGTTTGATATATGCCCTCGTCAGTCATGTCATGTTAATCTTTGAAAGAGTTTTGTCATCCTAGTATTTGACTCACCGAAGAAGAAAACTATTTCGTTTTTCAGCGTGACTATTTCGAAAAAGTGTCTTGATCTCTCTGGATAGGTGTGCTTTTCTTCTTCTAGCTTTTCAACAAAATGTGTGATGTATCATTATTCTTCACGAACAACAAACAGAAGCGAAACTAGATGAGTATGGATTTGTTATGTCACCGATCTGTAAATAATATCTTAGACAACTGAAGCTTTGCACAATCGAATATAAAGCGTCCCGACGAAAGTTGCCATTGAAACTGAACCAAACTCTCAGTCGCATTTCCATTTTGTTTGCAGTCTTTCATTGTAAAAACTTTGATTATTGCTGACTTTATTGCTCTTCGTCAAACTCGTAGTCCAATATGGAATCTATTACTTGAGACTTCAATTGTCATTCCGTTCAGAAAACGTCAGCGATTCTCTTTTTATACGGTGTTAATTTTGCTTCGACTTACAAGAGGGCATTCCCTTGTGCCTATTCACTTTTGAATTGGGACTTAGTACATCTTGTGAAGCTTAGGGAGTTATATCTATCATTAAAAAAAAGTTCGTGTCCTTCGCCTGTTTTTGAGAAGATCGAACATTTATAGTTTTGTTGCTAGATAGTTCTATAAAGTCTCCACTACGTTGTATGGAAATGTTCTCCGATTTCGATGAAACTTTCAGTGTTTGTAGAGCTTTTAATTCTAAGCATTTTGACAAAAAAAGTTTGTCAAAACGCTTTTGATTTGATGAAGATACATTCAAAATACTGCAAGTAACTCAAAATCCAAAAAAATATTAAAAAAGAATCCTTGTGAGTTTTTAGGATTTTTCTGGTTACGGTATTTTAAACGTGCATCCATAAAAAGGTCGTTTTGAAAAACTTTTTTTTGTCAAAATGCTCAGAATTAAAAGCTCTACAAATACTGAAAGTTTCATCAAAAGCGGAGGACATTTGTGTACAACGTGGTTGAGACTGTATGGAGAGATTCAGCTACAAAACTATAAACGTTCAATCTCTTCAGAAAGAGGCCAGGGGCGCGAACTTTTTTTTATGGTAAGCATAACTCACTAAGCTTTACAAAATGCACTAAGTTTCGACTCAAAAGCAAATGAGACACTTGGGAATGTTCTCTTGTTAGTGGAGCTATTCGCTAAGTGCGCATGAGTACGACTCAACATGCTTTCTGAATATGATAAAGATGGCTTAGTAAGACACTTGTATTGATGCTCGATACACGAGGCATTATCTCTGCTGTTTGAAACGAATAGGATTAGAAAAGAACTATAGAGTGAAGAAAGATAACAAAGTCATGGACTAACAGATTTCATTCAGGATATTTACATCTATGTTTAAGATAATCTCGCAAAGGAAAAATACAATTAAAATATACAAACTCGCTTGTATACAAGTAGATTTTGACGAACTCATCCAAAGCAAGTGAACTGTTCAGGTCTACTTTAGTTGGAATTATACGACTGCTATCGCCCGCCTTACAGCTAAAATATCATCAGTGATCCGTTCATTATGGACACAACAGAGAAAATATTACCATCCACTGATTCTAGAACAGCCTTGAAGAAAGCAGTCAGTCTCCTTGTCGATGACAGCACCAAGCAAGCGTCAGTTTCTTTCGAGAATGTCACTGTGACATCCACTCACTTGGCAATATCAACAAGACCTCGTATAGTTCAAAATTTTACGCTCATTTGGATGGACTCGAACATCAACGAGTTCGACTTAGATATTAAATACTCACTTATTCAACTGCGACGAATTGTCAATACAATTGATATATTTACCGGCGTCGAGCAATGCATTGATTATATGAACAACGTCAAAGACGAAAAGGTATTTATAATTGTGTCCGGTGTTCTTGGTCAAGCAACAGTACCCAACATTCATGACATGGCTCACCTCGATTCTATCTATGTGTTTTGTGACAATAAATCAAATCATGAACAGTGGGCCAATCAGTGGTCAAAAGTAAAAGGTGTGTTTACTCAGATCGATTCACTTTGTGATTCACTTCAACGAGATACGCAACAATGTGATCGGGATTCTATTTCTATCACTGTCACTAATGGAGATTTGAACCGACTTGATTCGTCGTTTATGTATACGCAGCTGCTTAAAGAGACGCTTCTCGACATGGAATATGATAATAAAGCAAAGAAAGAACTTGTTGAATTTTGTCGAGAACAATATCACGATAATCCGCATGAATTGCAAATTATTAATGAGTTTGAGCAAGACTATCACGTACATACACCAATCTGGTGGTACACTCGCGAGTGCTTCACCTATCAGATGCTCAATCGAGCTCTTCGGATACAAGACGTTGAAATTATTATCAAAATGGGATTTTTCTTACGTGATGTTCATCAGCATATCAAACAACTATATATGCAAATGGAACAACACGATGTCTTCACTGTCTATCGAGGTAATGGTATGTCCAATGTTGATTTTGACGAAATCAGAAAAAAACAAGGTGGTCTGATGGCCTTTAACACCTTTCTATCTACAAGTCTCAATGAAAACATCTCACTTGAATTTGCTCAAAAATCGTTACACAAACTCGAATCAGTAGGAGTTCTGTTCCAAATTACTGTCGCCCCATCGATTTCATCAGCTCCATTTGCCTCAGTGGTGTCAGTTAGTGCTATCCCAAATGAGGAAGAAATTTTATTTTCCATGCACACCATTTTTCGGATCGGCCAAATCAAACAAATTGAAGGTCGATTATGGCGGGTAGAACTTGCATTGACGAGTGATGATGATGAAGAGCTTAAACGACTCACGGACCACATGCGAACAGAAACTCGAGAGCTATTAGGATGGGACCGATTAGGTGAAGTTTTGATCCAAATGGGAAATGTTGATAAAGCCGAAGAAGTCTATCAGATAATTCTCAAAGAAACATCGGGCGACGATGAAAAGAAACTTGGCCATCTTTATCATCAACTCGGATGGATAAAATACTACAAAGGAGCTTATGAAGAAGCACTCGAAAGTTATCATAAAGCGGTTGAAACCTACCAAAAATCTCTTTCACCAAATCATTTGGCTTTGGCTACTACCTATAACAACATCGGTTTGGTGCATTACAACAAAGAAAATCACTGGAATGCCCTCGAGTTTTATGAAGAGGCGCTTGAAATTCAACGAAAATATCTATCTTCAAATCATCCAGCTTTGGCTACTACTTACAACAATATCGGTTTGGTGTATGACAGCATGATAAGGTATATGAAAGCACTCGAGTTCTATCAAAAAGCGCTTGATATTCGGGAAAAATCTCTCCCTCCAAATCATCCAGATTTGGCTATCTCTTACAACAACATAGGTTTAGTGTGTGATAACTTAGGCGACTACTCGAAAGCGCTCGATTTCTATCAAAAGACACTTGAAATATATCAGAAATCTCTTCCTCCAATTCATTCATATATAGCTAATATCAACAACAACATCGGTCAAGTGTATTATAACATGGAAATGTACCCAGAAGCACTCTCGTTCTCTGAACGAGCTGTGCAAATTGGACAACAGTCACTACCCGAATTTCATCCTCAACTTCAATTGTGGCGACAAAACCTCGATGAAATACGAAAATTGTAATTCAAGGCGGTTTTTATGAATAAAACAGAATGTCGTGCATGCGAGCACGTACACATAGACTTTGCTTGGTGGGACGCTATTGATCAACGTTTGTAAGACAATAAACGTTGATATATCTGTGCATCAAGAGCTTTCCTTCATTTTCCTACAAATAAACCTTGGTGTGAGTGTGGATGCTTGTGCTTCTTTACTACCCACCAACACCCACCACCAACATCCACATGTACGTGCACACTCACACCCTCTTGTTCGAACCAGTAGGTACACTCAAATCGTCATGTAAATTCTCTCAAATCAATCTTGTCTTTATCAAGTTTTAATTGTCAACTATAATCTCATTCATATTATTTATTACAATTTTCAGAAATGAACATTTTTTATTAGGAAATTTTTGTCATATAGAAGAGGGTTGGACATTGAATTGATCGGTGACATAAATGTTTACTTCCAGCGGAAAAATGTCGCTCCGTTCAAAAATGGTCAGCCATAAAATACTTCCACACGTATACCGATACAATTTCAGCGGAAAAACGCAACGTCATAGGAATAATGAAGATTTTCATAGAAACAGTGAAATGGAAAAATGACAAAATGATATCTTCCATGAGAAATGTGTTACAAATGCGCATAGCTCTATAGATTCTACTGTAGCCGAAAAATGAGAATATGGATGTGGGTGTGGGTAGGGTGTGGGTGGGGTGTGGGTGTGGGCGTGGGTGTGGGTGTGCGTGTGGATGTGGGTGTCAGAGGGGTGTGGGCATGGGTGTTGATCAAGAAAAGACTAACACGCATACACGCACACGCACACCCACAAACCCACACCCACGCCCACACCCACACCCCACACCCCACACCCATATCCACACCCACACCCTCACCCGCACCCACACCCCACACCCACACCTATACATTACACCACCCTGGCGGTAGTTTAAACTTTTTGAAATCAATTTTTGATTTTTATCCAAAGCTAGTTATATATACAGTTTTGTTCAGAATTAAATTTTCTATTTAATGGTATATAAATCGGGCACTGAATCATGCGAAAGCTCTTTGAAAAACTAATAATTCTCTCTCCCAATATTGAGAAAATAGCCAAAATGGATATACCTAGTTGGATATCAAAGTAAGGCCGATCGAGCTGAAACTTTCAGAGGTGACTACTAACTCTGAGCTCGTCAATTGCTGAAAATTTCACACCAAACTGCTCGTGTTTTCTAATTGGGCCAATTTGACTCCAAAACGTCCCCCGTCCTATTGTAAAAATTTAAGAGAGATTTTCATTAGAGTAATATTGGTGTTGAATAGTATTTTTATATTATATACTTAGGGTGTACCAAAAGTTCTGATCATCATATTTAAAAGACTTTTTCGATAAGGTTTCCTATTCAAAAATGAGAAACCAAATACACCATGTTGTAGAGTTTTTCGAGATGCATCGAGTAGTATATAGTAAATTCTATTTTCATAAGACTGAAAGAATTAGAATCAATTTACTGATAGGCGACTACATATCCACATGCATCCATACTAGCACCTATACTCAACAATGATAAATTAATGAATATTGTTGTCCTTGCTATTAATCAAAAATATTTGTAAAATGCCTTTTCTCACATATGACTTTGTAGAACTTTTAAAGGACTACAATCTCATATGCGTAGCATCTCCGATCATCTTGTGGATGTGAATATGGATGGATGCATGTGTGAATGTGTAGTCGCCTATCAGTAAATTGATTCTAATTCTTTCAGAGTCTTATGAAAATAGAATTTACTATATACCATTAGATGCATCTCGAAAAACTCTACAACATAGTATACTTGGTTTCTCATTTTTGAATAGGACGCCTTATCGAAAGAGTCTTTTAAACATGGTGATCAGAACTTTTGGTACACCCTAAGTACATTAATTCTTTGGCTGCGGATTTTTTTTGAAAAAATGAAAATTTCTCTTTTGCTTTATACTTGATCATAAATTAATCTATATTTCTAGTTTTTAAATATTTTTATAAATACGCGTGGTTAAAAGATTTTCAAAGTGTAATACAGTTCAAAACAATGTACAACATATAAAGCACCATTTCATTGAAGACACTCAAGAATTTATATGTATAATACCACCTAACATGTTGCAGTAGATAGAAACGTTTCTTATGAGAATTTTAGATTTTATTAAAGTTTTCTGTAGAAGTCATTTGTGTTATATTTGTTATACATTACTGAATGGCAGAGTAAAAAAATTTCGAACTCAAATTACGGCAAAATACCGTCGAATATAATTAGGTGCTGAGATCCTGCATTTATCCCTTGGATAAATAAGTGTTGATGTTAACTATCAAAATATCCATGCGAGTTGATTTCAATTAGTATAACCAATTTTGAGAGGAGGAAAAAGAAGAAACTGAGAAAAAGTAAATTATGAGCAATTCAAAAATTGATAATCAAATAGATGGGACAACTTCTTTTATTTCAAAAAAGTCTAAAAATTGTCTATGAACCAAACATAAGTAAAAATTCAATAAATTGCAAAACACCTTCTGGGTAAATTTGTTGATTTTCATCTTTAATAATAATTTGTTCATTTTCAAGAGCTTCCATTGGACTTTTTAAACGAGCTATAATTTCTTTCCAAATTAATTCTGTTTTAACTTGTACAATCATATGAATATTTTTTGAATCAATATTTTCAGGCCAATAAAATTTGACATCAACTATTCCATTTCTAATATGAATACTGAATTTGTCATTTGTATTATTAAAATGAAATAAAATAAAATGATTTATTCCTTCAGCATTTTTATAATAAAAATTAACCGACATGAATATAAAACAATATTTTAATGATGATTGAAAAATAGTTTCAATAATTTGTGATTGAGATGGTTTTATTTGAATTAATCCTTGAATTTCTAATGATATCATTAAATACCAATTTCTTCCATTTGCTGATATTTCACGGAGAGCTAATTTTTGTAATGTTAAACATTGTAATTGATTTATTTGTGAAATACTTAGGGTTATCCAAAAGTTCTAGCGTCATTATCTTATTTTCTTATAGAAAACTTAAAAAAATTTTGCTTTTTTTATGAACAGATAGAACGTCTTTCGTTCTATTTTTCTATACTATTTGATCATTATTTAACTAATATCATAATAATAAAATTTCGATAAGAACTGTTTTTGTTGAAAGCTAGCTGGTGGTATATTAGATCATAATGGGTGTGGCATAAAAAATGGGGCACTTTTGTATTTCATTTTATCATCACTTAATATGTTGTATTAAAAAGCAAAATATACCACAAGATGCAGCGTGAAAAGCTCTACAAATTACATAAGACCACTTATTTTATAGTTGCACTTTTTGTTTTCAAAATGGACAAAACTCTGAGCGTGCAAATTTCGACGCTGCGCAAAAGAAAATTTTTTTTGATAAAAGACGACTTCATTTTTTCCTATCTCATCTTTTTATAATTGTTCTTTGTAAGTTATAGAGCTTTTCATGCTGCATCTTGTAGTGTATTTTGTTTTTTTAATACAACGTATTAAGTGATAATAAAGTGAAATGCAAAAGTGTCCGACCCGTTAACATCTAATGCCACCAGCTAGTTTTCAATAAAAACAGTTCTTATCGAAATTTTATTATTATGATATTAGCTGAATAATGATCAAATGGCATAGAAACATAGAACGAAAGACGCTCTATCTGTTCATAAAAAAATTATTTTTTCAAACTTTCTATAAGAAAAAAAAGATAACGACGACAGAACTTTTGAATTGTCCTAAGTAGTTTGTCAGTAAAACATATACTTGATAGCTTAGAACGAATAATCTGTATCTCTGTTTCAATGTTTTAAACAATTGATAATACTATATTCAATCATAAAACTTGACATATGTCTGTTATCATCTAAGAGTTTTATTTATTCCACAGCTATATCAGGTATCCGCTAGTCAATTCGTCCCTCTATAGTATGTATAACACTATGTATCTACGTGAATTATTTTATTGACAAGCAAAAAATTATATTTTATTTAAAAACTTCTCGTTCTAGTCTATTAGTTGTTAGTATGGCGAAAAAATAATTCATTGTAACGGAGAATTTCCATTTTTATTTTCATTAATAATATATGTCCATGATTTCGATTATGTTCGAGTTTGTATAACTGTATAGAACATATAGCATGATATTGACATTGCATTATAATGATTAATTTTATGATAAGATGGAAAGGTTATGCTGTCGATATTGTAATGATATATTTCCATATAAATGATCAATATTCGAATTATATATGAAAGTAAAGACAATTCTTATTCATAGAACTCATCATTCGTCTAAAGAAACCTGTAAAATTAACTAGTTTTATGCATATTACGCACTCATTCATGTAAAGCATGTACTGGATTTCTAAGCGACAAATAGACAGTGCCAAATTAATTTAAGTGAATTTGTTTTCTAAGAGCATATCACATGAATATAATCAATTAATAAATTATATTTCGTTATATTATTTGATAAAGGGCATCGAGTTAACAAACATCAGAAAACATTATTTTTATAGAATGTTCGTCGTATGTTCCTCTGATACCGAATATTATTACGTATGAGTTAACAATTTGTAATTTTTTGAAAAACCAGCAAATAGGATAGCAAAAATATATTGAGTTGTTCATTGATTAGTTGTAAAAAGCTTCTGAATCTCAATCGACTATTGTAACCAACAGTGGTTTCAGAGTATTGAATACTATTCGATATTGAACTTTTTATAGTCTTTCCTCTGTCTTATTAGACTAATTTTTGGCTATTTTTCAATAATTATTGTCTCGATTCAAGACTAAATGTCAAGCTCGCGGTAAAGCACATCGTTTTATTTCAAGAGAGAAAATTAGTGAAAAGAAAGATGTGTTAGAAAAGTTCAAAATTTATTTAAAGAGAAGGGAATAAATCTCTCATATTTGATAATGTGCAGCATGAATCTTCCATAGTATATTATTGAACAGAACCAGTTGACACTCACAAAAAAGCAGCATATGATAACTACTGAAATCAGTCATACAAATTATTATTGGACTTTATGTTGAAAAAACAGCACGATCAAAATTAGCACATACTTTATCAAATTGAATCATAGTATGAGTTTACGAAAATCTACGATTGAATCAAACTGATTTTTTTGGCTATAAAATAGTGTACTTAGAGGATTTTTAGGTTATTGTATATATATGATTTATAGTCGAAAGTATTGAGTCAATAGTATATTGGGTTGGTTGACAAGTGAAATTCATTTTATTTTTTAGGTATAACAGAATGAGCTTTTCAATTTATTAACGAAAATAATGACATTGATTTCTACTTAATCTTCTTTTGAAAGTCGAAGTGCTAGATGATGCTTCAATATCATATATTTAACATGCAACGAAATAGTGTTTCTATCGAACGGTAGTCTGGGCTGTACTTGAAAAGATATGAATTTTGGTTAGAAATAGTATATGTTGCATAGCATTTCCAATAAAATCTCACGGTCAGTTAGTCTTGTCTATATAGTATTATAAACTAAAGAACGAATCATTACAAAGAAAAATATACTCAAGCTAATTTATCCGACTTATTGTTTTTCTTCTTCTAAATTATATTAATTTTTCAAAGAATTTAATTGATCTTCTAGAAGAAAAAAAAGATCATTCGAATACTTTTTTGATAACCATGAAGAATTGACTTGTAGTTTGATATTCGAGATCAATAAGCAGCAAATGCTGTATGAGCACTACCAGTAACTGAATCTTCAAGAACACCACTATATGGAGGAAAAAAAATCGACAGAGAAAATCCGTTGTTGTTGAAATACTTATAATTATAATATCACGTATAAATGGATTTATTATTTGACCTAAATCGATTCCAGTAAGATTTCGTTCTAGTTTTATATTGTCATAAATTATTATCAGATGAATCAAAAGATATTTCGTTCGTTTACATACGGTTGAAGAACACCAATAAGAAAATCAAGTTCTAAATAGTCAATATTCGCTCAAAAAGAATATGAACTGTAGCTAATGGTCCATGACCATATAAATCAATGTCAGTTTGTTGGTGTAAATCATTGAAGATAATATCGGTTGTTATAAGTTGAATTTTTTGCTTAAGTAATAAAAATTGTTTCAGATGGATTCAATTCGATAGCAATTTGTTGAAAAAGTGTATTCATATTTTTTGTAGAAGATATACCTTGCAATGAAGTACATACAGCAGCCAGAATACCTTTCTACTGTATAAATATCAATTATCTTTTAAAAATCGATAATAACGGTGAAAAAGACAAGACATATAAGTGACTAGTTGTGACCGATACAAGAAAAACGAAAGATCAAGCAAACAGAAAAAAATGCAGATAATAGCATCTTAATAAAGATCTTACTGATAAAGAAAATATAAAATAACGTTGAATAGCGACACCTTAATAGTTTTTAGTTTTACATGAGATGATTATATTGATGGTTACAAGACGAACCAATGATTTTACGTAGACTTTTTAATATGAAATATAGACATATAGTCAACGGACAGAGCAGAAAAAGAGCACATCTTAAGCAAATGAATATCAAATGCACTACCTATGGCGCCCTCTGAAATAGATAGAATGGGCCGAACTTTTAAAGTAACCGAATCGATAGAGAAAAATACGCTGAATCGAACCGTAATTTTATTTTTCCAAAAACACATGGCACACATCTGTAAATAGTCGAAAAAAGCGTAGCTCATCAGCTATAGAACATTCTGATTGGTTGATTCACGATTGGTCTACAGAAAACTTCGATTTTCTCGGAAATGGCTCCTAGGCCGAGAAATCTAATTACACTAGAAGGTCTAGCTCATTTTTAGGAACAAAATGACACCAAGAAAAACCTTCTAAAAATTGGCACAAATGGTGCACTACTAAGTGCATTAGTGTGTTCGAAATTTGCTATTGATTCGATGACTCATCCTGATTTGTCCACTGACTAATAATACTAGGATACTAATAAAATTTATAAATGAATTTGATGATGTGTTTAAATTGCACTAACAACATTTCTCATTTCATTATGTAGAATATCTATTTCGAATAAATTCCTAGTCTTGTGATGGAGTTATACTTTATAGTCAATAACGTTCTCTTTTACTGTTATTTTGTGTATTTATAACCTATGGAGTAATGTTTCTTATAGTAGATATATCAAGTAGAAACATGATGCACAGAAATATCTGTTAGCCTTGATAAACATACTGTTTGGCACTTATTTCAGAAAGTAGAGTTTATGTAGTAGAAGTTAATGAATATAACAAAAAAAAAACAAACACTATTCTTTGAATCTCTTCGATTATATCAGAAAAACATAAATGTGTTTCATCTTATTAGCGATAAGCATTTTTTTAAATGGAAAGCGACTACTTTTTCTTCTTTATTTTTAATACATTACTTTAAAAAGCTTTGACTTTGTAGACTTTGATGTACATGTAACACATTGCTAGTATGAACACAAGGTATCATGATATTTTGTTTCAGATTTCTATAATAAACACTGATGAGGATATATGCTCTAACTGCAGATATATGCACCAGATTCAATCACATGCCTATGTAAGATATGGATTCATAATTTGATCAGTTCGTATTATAAATTTCTATATGAAGTGAACAACATTTCATTCATTGGTTATCGTGTTCAGTCAAATTTCTTCGACTATGTAATTCTAAAATATGTGATAACCTGACTTTATCAAGGCACATTGATCAATTTCATTCTGTAATTTACAGACACTCATTGTATCCTAGTTTCATAGTTTAGGATGCTAATGATTCACTTCTGAGATATGTGTGAGTTTTATTGGTTTTTGTTTTTAAATAAAGAATTTTTTATACTCTCTATCATTAGACAACTG